CGCAGCCTCGCCTGCTGGGCTCCGGCGATCCTTCCGTCTCAGCCTTCCGAGTAGCCGGAACTACATGCGCTACCGCGCCAGCCTGATTTTTTGATTTATTGTAGAGATGAGGTCTCACTGCCCAGGCGGGTCTCGAACCCGCGGGCTCAGGCAATCCACTCACCTCAGCCTCCCAAAGGCGCGGGATTACAGGCTGGGCCACCAAGCCTAGCCCCTCAACTTTCTTGTTTCCGTGTTCCTGCCACCAGGGCTGCAGCTCTGCAGAAGCAGGGATGAAACAGGATGATTCATAACCAAGAATGACAACTATACCTTTGCATCTCTGTGTCAGAGTTCCTAAGCGCCAAGGGGGTTGGATGGTGCATAATTGGGAATGTCAGTGCTTACAGCTGCATTGAGAGAGCCCACCGGTCTATATTATGTCACTCTGCTGTATACAAACAGGGTGAACTCAGCAGGGTAGGCTTGCTAGAGTGGTAATGTGACTAGACATCTGCAGCAGCACAGTGGCTGAACCTAGCATCTCTTCCACAGGTGGAAAAGTCTGGATAAAAATCAATGGCAAGTGCAGAGAAGGAGAAACAGTAGCCGAGGGTAAAAGAATCAAAAAATGAGTTATGCAACAAAGGAAATTCGATATTACAATCCTGCCTCCAGAGAGGCTCAGAGCAATAGAGAGATGTTGTCTCTTAGAACAATTACACTAAACGCCTGAAAGAGGAAATTCATGTATTTGCCAAGACTATCCCTCCTTTGGGAACCAGACAAGGTCAAATGGAAATCTGCAAACCCAAGTGGCACTGCTCTGGGAGACACTTTAGTCACCAGATGTAGTGATAAACTGAACTACTTTTTTTTTTTTTTTTTTTGAGACAGAGTCATGATCTGTCACCCAGGCTGGAGTACAAATGATGCAATTACAGCTCATTGTAGCCTCAAACTCCTGGGCTCGAGAGATCCTCTTGCCTCAGCCTCCTGAGTAGCTAGAACATGCCACTACATCTGACTACTTTTTAAAATATTTTCGTAGAGACAAGGTCTCACCATGTTGCTCGGGTTGTTCTCAAACAATCTTCCCGCCTTGTCCTTGAACCAATTGTTAATGACTGTGTGAAACCTCAGTAATATCTCAGTATCTTTTCATTCTTTTTTTTTTTTTTTTTTTGAGTTGGAGTCTCACTCTATTGCCCAGACTGGAGTGCAGTGGCCGCTCCCGGCCACCGCAGCCTCGACTTGCTGGGCTCTGGCGATCCTTCCGCCTCAGCCTTCCAAGTAGCCGGAATTACAGGCATGCGCTACCACACCCGGCTGATTTTTTTATTTATTGTAAAGATGAGGTCTCGCTGCCCAGGAGGGTCTCGAACCCACGGGCTCAGGCAATCCACTCACCTCAGCCTCCCAAAGGCGTGGGATTACAGGCTGAGCCACCGAGCCCGGCTCTTTTCATTCTTATTTTTCAGGTTGCATCTCTTATAAAAGACATCATCAAATTAGAAATTTCTGGGAACTACTCCTTACTGGACCATTGGGAGATTTTTTTTTAATGGTAATCTTATGAACTACCCAACTTATGAAATTTCTCTAGGAACACTTGCAACTTAAGTCAATGCACCATGACTATACTCGCCCCATGAGTAGATCAGAATAAGACAGGGATGTCCAACCTTTTGGTTTTCCTGGGCCACGTCAAGTAACCTTTTGGCTTCCTTGGGCTGCATCG